GAAGAAGATAACTTCCAGGTTTTTTTGATTACTTGGTGAAAGGAGAAGGGAAGCTAGAATGTGTTTAGAGCCCCTGCCCTCAAAATCAAGAAGGCACAGAAGTTATTTTAAATATATAAGCTGAGTCAGTTTGTTTAGCTTTTTAGGCTTTGTCTACAGAACAAAGTTACTGTGTGATATACTACAGAATTTATTTAATTTACAGTACTTATTTTGCAAGAAGACTCCTGTGAATGATGGTACCACATTTTAAGTACGTCTTTATTCTGCTTAGTTTGGTATTGTTTGAAATTAACTTGATTAGGCTAAGAAAAAAAAAAATCAGAATAAATGCATACCAAAGTTATTTGGAAATATTGACTTTATTCTCAGTCTGCATCCTGTCTTCACATGAATCAACTTTCAGGTACAGAGAAACTATAATTTGAACTGTACAGATATTTCTCTGTCTCTCTGGGTCACAACAACCCCATGCAGTGCTTCAGGCTTGGGGAAGAGTAGCTGGAAAGCTGCCTGACAGGAAAGGACATGAGGGCGTTGGTTGACAGGTGGCTGAACAGGAGCCAGCAGTGTGCCCAGGTGGCCAAAAAGGCCAATAGCATCAGAAATAGCGTGGCCAGCAGGACTAGGGAAGTGATCTTACCCCTGCACTCAGCACTGGTGAGGGTGCACCTTGATTACTGTGTTCAGTTTTGGGCCTCTCACCACAAGAAAGACATTGAGGTGCTGGAGTGTGTCCAGAGAAGAGAAACAAAGCTGGTGAAGGGTCTGGAGTCTTATAAGGAACATCTGAGGGCACTGGGGTTGTTTAGCCTCGAGAAGAGTAGGCTGAGGGGAGACCTTATCGCTCTCTACCTGAAAGGAGGTTGCAGTGAGGTGGGTGTTGGTCTCTTCTCCCAAGTAACAAGCACTAGGACAAGAGGAAATGACCTCAAGTTGCACTAGGGGAGGTTTAGATTGGATATTAGGAAAAATTTCTTCACCAAAAGGGTTGTCAAGCGTTGGACCAGACTGTCCAGGGAAGTGGTTGAGTATAGTATGTTGAGTGGTTGAGTATATACCTCCCTGGAGGTATTTGAAAGATGTGTAGATGTGGTGCTTAGGGACATGGTTTAGTGGTGGATTGGGCAGTGCTAGGTTAACAGTTGGACTAGATGATCTTAAAGGTCTTTTCCAACCTAAACAATTCTATGATTCTCCTTAATCCATTTTAAAAAGTATTTTAAACAATCGTATACTCTATTTATTTTGGGGCAGATGAGGATGAAGACAGATCCTTTGATGAAACTAGAAAGTGACACCGAGTTGAAATGGCAAGAGGCACTGATTTAAATACACTCCCTACAAGCACACCTTAGCTCGGGCAGTACTTTTCAAAGCTCCTCAAGAACTTTTTATCTGTTGTTGCAGTTTGTAATGTAAAAGAAAATCAGAGGAGTTTTGAGTAAGTTAGGACAAGACCATGGTTGGTTTTCAAGGCTTTACTTTAAAACAGTTTCTGATTCTGGGTGAACATTTTTTAGACAAAACCTTTGGTTGTTGTCACCTGATCCAAATGATTGAGGTCACTGCTAGTGTGTTACTTCTCATTAGCTGACCTATCGTTTGTCTTAAGTTAGCACCTTCTACTTTGTGATTAATGTGTGCAAAAAGTGGATACCTAGTTAATTACTATGTCTCAGATGAAAAGCAGCAACATATTAGTCCCTAGTAATTTAATTGCTTACATTTATAAATCCATTCCCATACTTAATTTCGTAAGTATTTTTATTGATTAAGGGGTGGGATTAGGATTGGTCTTTTGGTGCATGATACCCTTCTCATGAATATTGTATGTTTTATCTTTCTATCTTTGCTTTGTTTCTCAATTCCCACATCATTTGTGAACTACAGTAAAACAGAACTAAAAACTCCAAGGATGTACACAAAAAAAAATTCATTTGAAAGTAAGAACTCTGCTTACTATCATCTGGAAATCTATTTTCAAACCTTCTGTGATTTAGCCTGGGGCTTAATTCACTGTACAGTACTGATCAAGAAAATAAGCTTGAGTCAGGTTTGATTCTAGTTTTTGCACCTGTTAGAACAAAAAAAATCATTAAAGAGAATAACATTGCCTGGCTTATTTGGCTCTAGAGGTACATCATCTAAGACATAATTGATGTAACTTCAAGAACTTTTCATCTGTGTATGACTTTTCAAGCTTGATATCTCTAGCACGCTCAACTGAACCAGGTCCGTATTTATGAGTGATGAGCAGTAAATGAGCACATAGGCACTCACATTAAAAATTAAATTAGAAGGAGTCTTAAATATAAAAACAAAATTCTTTCTAGAAATTCTACCAGACTTCGTTTCGTTCAGGTCTACCTGAAAACATACCTACGATTCTAGCTCTACCGTTGTTATCTTACAAGAGGACCATGTTCTTGAATATAGGTC